TTTCTATTCCACACAGTGTGTTCGCAGCAACTAGGCAGATGAGGCACGCGCTCTGTTAAACGTATTATCTCCACTTATTTGATGAATTAAAGTTAGTCAGCAGTGAATGAGCTCCACACATATCCACCCCCAAGCTCCACGCACACCCATCCCAAGCTCCAAGAAATAATGCCATTATGACAACACATTCCTGATGGTCTGCGATAACCTCAGGGGTTTCCCTCCACCGCCCGCGACCCCTCCCATCCATAGATCTACCTGTGCATATTGGCCACGCTTACTACATTGTGTGTCAGATCGCCCGTAGGACTATGCTGCTAACGGCAAACTAAGCGGCAAACTAAGCGCAACACAAACTCTACAGTCTTCAACAGTCATGTCCAGGTTTACAACAGTCATGTCCAAGTTTACAACAATTATGTCCAAGTCTAAAACTGTTATGTCTAAGTCTTCAACAGTTATGTCCAAGTTTTCAACAGTTATGTCCAAGTCTTCAACAGATATGTCCAAGTCTTCAACAATTATGGCCAAGTCTTCAACAGTTTTGTCCAAATATACTTCCACGTGGGCTGGCAAGGCTTTCTGTTTACATCCATTTAACAGACATTGGTCTTAATTTCCACCCTTGTCTTTATGTTTTGTATCAATTTCATGTTTACGCATTAGTCAGCAACATACACATCAGCCAGAAATATACACATCAGCCAGCAATTTACACATAAACCAACAATATACGCATTAGCCAGCAATATACACATTAGCCAGCAATATACACATTAGCTTGCAATATACACATCACCATGTACATAATAGCCAGAAAGATAGGCCAAAAGAATAGCCAGGAAGATAAGCCTATACAACAACTGGAAAGATAGGCCTACACAATAGCCAGAATAGCTAGAAATATTTTCAAACTTCAGTTTGAGAATTATAAGGGTATCATAAATTGTATTTCTACACAGACTCTTTGAATTCTCGTGAAGCAATTATTTAATCCTAACATTAATCACGGACTGGATGATAACGTGTAGTTTGCTTTATTTCAATAAATCTTTCAATTCCAACTACATTCTTGCCTTTGGGACAGATTAATCTAGACTCTAGACATTGAGCTTGACAAACCTCTTAACTAGTGATGAATGCGTATTGACGAAAATATGTGTAAAGATAGAAGGTAACAATACCCCTTCCCTCCATCATGCGTCGCTGCACAATTTTGCTTCTCGCTCATGAACTATATTAAATGTTCTGATGTCCCAACCACTTTTAAACCGGCATTTTTTTACACCATACTTAACTTGAGACGAATTTCATTTCCGAAACAAAAATATTATGCACCAAACGCAGTTGTGTTATTTAAACAAAATATTATATATTATATCATTTAGCGTAGCTATCGGGAATTATATTTTTGCGCGCGATTGAACTCATTCTTGAACTATACATTCTTTCAAAAATAGAATTATTTGTAATATACTCTCAATACCCAATCCGCTGAATAGGAAGCAGCCAGAAATGGAAGCAGTCCAAGAGTCACACCTCCTCATCCTCATGTCCCTTAGTCCTTGGACCGTTGGGGCGCCACAGATGACATGTGAACCATCCTCCTCCATTTCTCTCTGTCTTCAGCTCTACGCACTGCATCGCCCAGTGTTAGTCCTGTCCACTCTTTGATGTTATCCTCCCATCTTTTTCTTTGTCTTCCTCTTCTTCTCCCTCCTCTTGTGGTGCCCTGCAATATTTCTTTGGCAAGCCCTTGTTTCCTTGTTACGTGGCCGTACCATTGTAGTTTGC